AGATACATGCATACATATATACATATATACATATATACATATACTGATATAAACATAAATATATGTATATATACATCCGTGCGTACCCTAGAGTCCCTGCACGTTTATACATGTCGAAACCAGCTGAGGGCGCCGATGCCAGCTGTGCCAGCACCACCTCCGGCCCCAGGGCCAAAGGGCGGGGGCTCCCAGTTGAAGGCTTAGGGTTTCGGGTTTAAGGCTTCGGGCTTTGCGGATTAAGGTTGGCGATCTGAGGCTTAGGGCTCAGGGTTTCTGGCACGGGGTGTACGATTTAGGTTTGTGTGGTATGCCGGACTCTGAGAAGTTCGCAGTTGAGACAAAGAATTGATGTTATTTCCCCTGTTCTTATCCTCTACATATATAGCAAAGATAGCCGCATCAACAGGTTCAGGCTCTAGGCTACAGGATTTCTGATGCAAAAGATGGCTGGCAGCTTTAGGCTGCAGATTCAGTTCAGAGCTTCTTCAGGTGGGGACCAGGCGGGGACTCTGTAATCCCAGACCCTCTAAAGGATCCAAAAAATAGAACCCCCCTAATATGAATCCATTACTACATTGGGGTAACTAGGGGATTATTACGGGGTTCCATTTGTTGGATCCTCTAGGCGGTCTGGGATGGGAATACGAAGTGTATGTCACTCCTTCTTCGGGGTGTCGTGGGGGATACATATGGGTTTGATGAGGGTTATATATGGTACTGCCCTCCTTCGGGTTGCAGACTTCAGGAACTGGGCTCTGCGTTTCAAGGTTCCTGGCTCCACATACTTGACCAGACCCCCTACGGCATCCAAAACATGTGAGTTGTACTCCTCAAGCGGGCTATATAGGGGACTTTTTGGGGGGGTTATTACGGGAGATACTAGGAGTTTAGACTGTAACCCCCCAAAAAAATAAACCCATTACTAAATTGGGGAAACTAGGGGATGATTCGGGGCTCCGTTGGTTGGATCCTGTAGGGGGTCTGGGTGAGTTCTGGTCTCAGATGGTCCAGGGCAGATCGTCCAAGAACTTGAGCTGCAAAGTTATGGGCGAAGCGGTAACCAAACATGTGGGGATGTCCCAAAATTAGGGGTACTCTTTTGGGGGTCTGGATAGTAAAGATTGTAGTAGTCTGGGGTCTATATTGGAGTCCCTTATTTGGGGAAACTACCATGTCATTGTGCTCCTTTTTCAAGGTTCTGACAGGAGAGCCCTTAGGCTCACCGTTTGGAGGCTTGGGGTTCAGGGCTTAGATCGCTCCAGTCCCGAAGCAGCCTTGACTCAGACCGACCCACCAGAAGAAACTCCAAACATTTCTGGATTTTTAGCAACCTCAGCCGCTCTCACCCTATTTGCAGTTGCTATCGAAAATGTTTGGGAGTTGCCTTATTTCAGGCTTTCGAAGTACCTCTTACTCTTGGCAGTCCAAAAGGTTTTATGTGCGTAGGATAAATGGTTTAGGGCGCTTAAAGATTACTGTTGTTTCAAAACTGGGCAAACTATGCAAACCTCACTCGGCCTCACCCCCAAAGATTTCCTTGAAAATTGTCGCCAATTGGCTTAGTTTGAGATAGAAGTGCCCAGTTCAAAAGGGTTCTGTTTGGGGCTTCATGTTCGCCGACGACGCCCAGGCCACGGAAAGGGCGGGGCGCACGAGGCAGCTCGGGGTTTACTGGAACTTGGGGTTTAGGGTGTTTAGAGTATTTAGGTTTTGGGATTTTGGATATGTAGGGTTTGGGGTGTTTCGGGTTGAGGGGTTAGGTATTCAGGGTATTTGGGGTACTTCGTATTTAGGGCTTAGGGTATTTAGGGCGTTTAGGGCATTCAGGAGTGTTTTTATTTGGAGCTTACAGGCTTCCAGAGGGATGCAAGAATTGCAACCCCCAAGAAGAAAAGACAGAAACCTAAAAGATAAAAAACGAAAAGGACACCAGGCCGGGAACAAATCGAGGGATTACATCGGGATTATATAGGGATTATGTAGGGATAATATACCAAGAACATAAATGGGAGTAGCATAGGAGTCTAAAATGTGAACGCGGAGGGGTAATGATGGAGAGCGATTAGGGATCCCAGGATGTTCCTCGAGTCAACAAAGCACTTGGCATGTCGGGTTAAGGGGATTAGGGTTTAGGGGTGAGGGTTGAAGGGGTGGTTTAGAACACTAAACCCCTAAACCCTAAACCCTCTAGGGCTCCCTGAATACTGAAGGGTAGTTATCTGTGATCAGTGGAGCCTCATGGAGCTCCACGTTAGTTTCAAAAGGTGGGGGTAAGCAGCTCCAAGCGTTCCTGCGCCGTACCCCTGAACTGGATTTTGTTAATTGTCAGTTTTGTGTTGGGCTGTATTAATGTCACCCTATAGCATAAGTATACCAGGAATCTAGCACCATAATATGTATAAGCATCTAAGGTCCCGTATGAGTGCTTCGGCATTCAGGTGCAGCAAGCGGAGGAGTTCTAGGATCGCAGGCAGGTTCTTTGATTGCACAGCCTGCTGTGGGCGCCAGGAGAATCTGCAAAGTCAAGCCCACAGACCCTCAAGTAGAACTCCACCCGGGGTAGGCCCCTGGAATATTTAATATTTTCCCTAATGGCATTAATAGGGGACCATATATACTAATATTGTTCAATGGGTTTTAGGGGGCAGCCTAGAACCCTAAACCTGTAGATCCCCCCAGGTTCTGAGTTCAAGGATGCTACCCACGGTTCAGGGTTTAGGGTTATGAATTGAATGATGACACCTCTCCCCACCCAGACCCCCTAAAGGATCCAAAAAATGGAACCCCCCTGATATGAACCCATTACTACATTGGGGAAACTAGGGGATTATTAGGGGGTTCCATTTTTTTCAGCCTTTAGGGGGCCTGGGTAGGCACTTTGCTACATGCAAAGTACACCTCCAAGGCCAGAAATCTCCGAGGCCAGAAATTCGTTGGCAGCAGAATTTGGAAACAGCAAGTTCAACTCCAGCTGCAAATTCGTACAGATTCCCCGCAACTATCTCTGAAGACTCTAACTCGACACACAATCATACAACTAGTGATCAAGCGCTTTGCAGTCTGCAGCAAGGACAAGATATATCGCCGAATTGAGCCTGAGCCTCAACAAGGGTAGCTTTGAAAGTAGTTGTTGCTTTACTGTTGACCTTAATCCCTAAATAATCCCTGCATGACCATATAAAGCCATAAAGGCTTAACATTTAGGGCCCCCAAACCTACCCTAGTCAAGTTCAGGTTTGAGCCATGACGGGCTGCAGGGCTCAGTATTTCTAGTTGGTGTTTACTACGTTTTAGTAGCTACGTATGACTTATAACTGGCAGGTTTAGCATTTGGGTTATAGCTCTACTTATAAGTGGGGCACCTGTCGTAAGGCTAGTTTAGGGGCTATGAGTGGGGTTATAAACTATGTGATAAGTGGTTGCTAAGACTCCTGTAGTACAAGTGACATAATGGTTAGGTTGGGCCCCCACCAACTAGTAGTGACCGGCGGGGAAAACGGATATTGTATTTGGGTCTAGATATGTTGGGTACTATTGTACCACAGTTACGCTAGGTGGGACTTTACAACAATTTTAGCATTATATGGGTTGTTCTCAGAAATATGGGCCCCTTTCAGTCATAGATTATACTACGCACCAAACATTTAGGGGTACCAAAATGGGACCCTAATTTTGGGAACTGCCCATATAACTTCTGGGGGTTGCTTCGTTTCATGTTCACGGAGATAAGGGTTAAACTTGTCTTGGGGTGTTGCAGAGCAACAAAGTTTGAGATGCGGCAGTTTCTGAAAATGGTAGTTTCCCAGAATAAGGGGACCCCAATATAGACCCCAAAATACTATAATTCATAATATGGGGACCCCAATAAGGCACCCCTAATTTTGGGAGACTCCCAAATGATGTCGTGCAAGACCGAGGAGGTCGTGCTCAAAGCTCTGGCTGTTGAATCCCCATGCTATGTTTGGGAAGCGCTTACAGGTCCTAAACCCTAAACCCCTAAACCCTGTACCCCTAAACCCTAAACCCTACGGTTTATTCAGGGTGGGGAGTTGCAGTACCCTTCCCTTGGAGAGCTGTTACGGCTTCTGAAGATGTGAAATTGAAAAACCATCGGCAGTAGGATTTGCTTGTC